TCAAAGGAGCGCCAGGTCAAGGTCTCTTCTTTCCTTCTGGTAGTTCACTAGAGCTCATTGGTTACTGCGATGCAGACTGGGGAGGTTGCCAGTCTACTCGAAGGTCGACAACCGGGTACGTTGTCACTCTTGGTCTACAGAGAAACTTTACAAAACTAGTAATGGCTTGTGTATCTACAAAACCTTTCATGTTCTATGGAACGGCAGGTGCAGAGAAGAATTCCAACCTTCTCGAGGTGTAAGACAAAGATGTCCCCTTTTCCCAACCCTATTTACTTTAAGCATTGAAAGGCTTAACCATTGTATTAAAGAATCGGTAGAAAATGATTTGTGGAACCCTATCAGACTACCTAAGAATGAAACTTGTCTCACTCATCTACATATTTTTTTTGTTATGATCTCATTATTTTTGCAGATGCTGAAGCAAGACAGGGGGATCCCTTCATTGACTGCCTTAACAAGTTTTGTGTTGCGCAAGAGAGAAATCAACAAAATATTAGCCAAAAATACCAATGATAGAACGAGAATGTGAATCAGCAAAATGTTTGTCGTGAAGGATACCAGATGCCTAGGAAAATATCTTGGGGTCCAGTTATTTATACCCCGTTCCATATTTGTTAGGCAATTGATAAAGAATAATAGCTTACTTCTGGCATGTAGAAGAAGGAAAACATAATTTTGACTTGGTCTCATGCAAACAAAAAAACTCTATTGACAGAGCAAGGGAGGGTGGAGGACCTAATGAAACTTGGTTGTTCTTTTCCTAGTCATCAAAATGCTTTGTTGATACAGGTTTTGCAGGGGTTATGTCAAAACAAATGAGAATGAGCCGTTAACAATGTAGCATCACATAACTTCGAGACAATGTAGAGGGTTACAGATGCCCTTCCAATTATGAAACAGAGCATCATCTGGGATATAGGGGCAAACATTATGTCAGATTTTGGAGGAAACCCTGGTTAGCATATGGCTCCTTTCTTATTGACCAAGTGTTAGACACGAGAGCTACGGAAATTCAGAAGCTTTAGTAGCAGAAATGACAAAATTAAAAAATTAGAAAATGATGGAATGAAAATAATAGTTGGCTAGCTCCTATAAAAAAAATTAGCTTATAACCGGCCTTTTGGCCGGAATGTTCATATTTTAATATTTATATTCATATGTTATGTTTAAGTCTATTAATTCATTTAAGTTTATTGAAAATCATTCAATGGAGATGCTACATAAAGAATGAATATATAGGTAGAACATTCAGGATAAATACCCTCCACATTTAAGATAATAGAGCCCCCATTAAAATGATATTAGTTAATAGATTGGCCATAAATATAATATAAAAGCTCATTGGAATTCCCATACGATCCATAGATAGTTTGAAATTGAAATGAAACCTCACAATCCCACATAAATGCTTCAAAGCTCTCCTCTATGAATAACATGCTACTAATAAAAAAAATGATTTATAAAAAAAAACAGAAATGAAGAGTTGTTGATTCAAGTAAATCATATGCTAACAACTCAACTAAATTTATGGTTATTGTCTATTTATAAGATGGATAAAATTTTAAAAGTAATAAACTATAATTAACATAAAAAATATCAAAATCGAAGTATCAAAACACCAAATAAGTACTTACAGAATATTTATTGGGCTAGCTAACTGTTGAAAAGTTCAGTGATTTCAAATTTTAACTTCGTATATATTTTTAATTTAAAAAAATACAACAAATCTACATAGTCTGATTGATTTTAAGCCTTCACTTTGTTTGAAGTGACCATGATTCAAATCTCAATATGTCTTTTTTCTGTAAATAAATAAAAATACAGATAATTGTAAAAACAAAAATGTCTTTCCTAATTTCCCTCTCATTGCAGGAAATTTGAAAAGGGAGATTAAGTTTCAAATAATTAAATCATATACCCTAAATCTATAGAACTTAAACCCTAATATCACGTATACTAAGAACATAATCAGTGATTCTGATTCGCAAAGATGTATACAACATACCATATGCACTATATTAGGATTTAGAGAATTATGATATAGGGTTTAGTTACGTGATTAATCTATGGTCTAGATAATGTTATATATTTAACTAAGGAGATGCAACAACCCTCAATCCATCGAGCGAACCATAGAATTTCCAATGTATATACACATACCATTGTTTTTAAATTTAGCCAATGATAATTGGGTCATTTGTCAATGGTATTTAGTCTTTCAATGATATGCTTATAATCGTGAACCAGTAGGGAAATTGTTAGCCAATGATTTTTGGTCATTCACTTATAGCATTGAAAATTTCTTGTTACAAAACCATAGATCACAAATGTCAAATTTTATGTTTTGAAATAAAATTTTGTATAGCACTTTTGTAAACAATCCTTATATTCCTACAAACTACAAAGTCATGTAAGCTAATAATGAAAAGTTGTAAGACATACATAAACTCAAAATGTACTATTTGATTCTTGGTGAAGAATTGTGTGATCAGAGGAACTCACTTAGTTCATTCATAAAGCTAGGTATATCATGATGATTCACTTTGTAAAATAATTACAGTTATTAATTAATTCGATGATTGATTGTTGCGGTGGATGGTCATATGATTTTGAGATATTTTAGTATTTTCTCTCTTTAATTCAAAAAATACATAAACATTGTTGTAATCCAGTTGGTTAGGGATATTGATTAGGGTGTGCCTACGGTGACATGCATGTCACGGTGACTTGCACTTTCCGGTCGACCTCAGTTAGGATTAGGTCGACCTCATATAGAATTCGGTCGACCTCATATAGGATCCGGTCGACCTCATTTAGGATTCGGTCGACCTCATATAGGATCCGGTCGACCTAATATGTTGTTTCAGTGTAAAAACAGTTCATGGTGCCTACTTTGGATATTCATATCATACAATTGGCTAGATGGAAATTGAAGACTAATGACTTGTTTTGAAGCTGGAGTGTCCCTCTACATATTGAAGTGATTGAGAGCTCGATAGGAAGTCTAGAAGACCATTTTTGAACCTCATCAAAAGGCTATGCCAAAACTGGGAAACTGCCTAGAAATGGCTAAGTCTGGAAACGTGTTTGTGAAGCCTATTTTTGAGCTCAATTCGAGAAGCATGAATGCAAGTTGAGTCAGGAGCCTCTACCACGTTAAATTATGTATGTTTTTATACAAATTCAAGGAATTGGATGAAAGATTGGATATCTTTAAGGCTTCAAACAAAAGGGTCGAAGTTGCTACGAAAGCTGTTTTTTCTGGCAGACTTCGAGCACAAGCAAGCTGCCAGAAAAATAGCCTTCGTAGCAACTTCGAGCCTTTTGTTTGAAGCCTTAAGATATTCAATCTTTCATTCAATGCCTTGAATTTGTATAAAAAAAATACGTAATTTAACGTGGTAAGGCCTCTGGACTTGACTCGCATCCATGCTTGTGAAATTGAGCTCCAAAGTAGGCTTGACAAACACGTTGCCAGACTTAGCCATTTTCAGGCAGTTTCCCAGTTTTGGCATAGCCTTTTGGTCAGGTTCAAAAATGGTCTTCTGGACTTTCTATTGAGCTCCCTAGTACTTTAATGTGTAGAGGGACACTTCAGCTTCAAAAACAAGCCTTTAATCTCCAATTTCCATCTAGCCAATTGTAAGATATGAATATCCAAAGTAGGCACCATGAAACTGTTTGTACACTGAAACAACTGATTAGGTCGACCTGATCTTATATGAGGTCGACCGAAAAGTGCATGTCACCATGACATGCATGTCACCGTAGCAAAAGTCCTATTGATTATCAATATGGAAGGATTCGAGTTTAAGTCTTTGTAATGATATTTTTTTCTCGTAAGAAGATATTTAAGTTCTAAGTTGAACTTAGAAATTTACCCCTAACTACAATTAAGGAGAGTGCAATGAATTGAAATGCTCAAAATTTCCTGAAGTACTGTTATATATTATAGAGGGATAATAGTTAGTCAGCTGCCAAATAATCACCATAGGGGAAGAATACAAACGATGAAGGAAATGAGAAAACACGTCAAAATGAAAACAAAACTTGGCCAGTCGCCAAACAATAACTTAAGGGAAAGAAATGTGTGAAGAAACAATCAAATGAAAAATGAAAGTAAGAATATAATAAGTCTTTGTAATGACATTTTTTTTTTCTCGTAAGAAGATATTTAAGTTCTAAGTTGAACTTATAAATTTACCCCTAACTACAATTAAGGAGAGTGCACGGAATTTGAAATGTTCAAAATTTCCTGAAGTACTACTATATATTATAGAGGGATAATAGTTAGTCAGCTGCCAAATAAATTACCATAGGGGAAGAATACAAACGACGAAGGAAATGAGAAAACACGTCAAAATGAAAACAAAACTTCTCTCATTTCGCCAAACAAATTAGTAGAGGGAGAAGAAATGTGTGAAGAAACAATCGAATGAAAAAATGAAAGAGATAAAATAATAGAATGAATAAAAAAGAAATGAGAGAAAATTGATAGGATTAATAAAATAAAGCTGGTGAAAATGGTGTAAAAACTTGTGTGACTTATAAAGGGAAGAAATATAGGTACGAATGCCGAAATTAAAAAAATCAGGGACATGATTGAATAAAAAAATTTGGCTAGCCAGGAAACAAATCATCATAGAGGGAGGAAACTGGTATAAAAAATTATGCAATAAAACAGACGAGAAAGCACTAGAAAATGAAAACAAAACTTGGCTAATTGCCAAGAAAATCACTAGAGGAGGAACTCCAACCGAAGTTGGAGGTAAAATTTTTATTTTGTTAGATATTATATAATTTTAGGGAACTTTTCAAATACCAATTGATTCCATCATCCCGTTTAAATAAAAGAGTTAGTAAATTGAGGCCTATAATTGACGGAAGTTCAAAGAA